ACACTGACTGCTGCAATGATGCATTGCAATCCAAAACACAGTTGTAAATGATTAGTAAATGCCAAACTTCATTGAACACACTCACACAAAAATGGAAACAGTGCAATGGTTGTATAACAATGTAAATGCACTGAAAGCAATTGATCTGTACACTTAGAAATAAAGTGTCAAATGTATATAATACAGATTTTAGCCTAATAAAAAAACATAGTTTGGGGCTGGGGGTGCTTCAGTCAAAGAGAAAGCAAATCTAATTCTGTAACACTCTCACGGAAACCCCTTCAACGGCTCCCCATTGAAGTACTGTTGGGATAAAGACCAAAAGCATTAACGGGCTTATGAGGCCTTATATGGTCACCTCTCCAATTTTACTTTATGCTACTTTCCTCCTTTTTCTGTGCCAGCCACCATCACCGTGGCCTTCTTTATCTTCTTTTGAGCATGCCAAGTTCCTTTCTACCTCAGAGCCTTTGAAAAGCATCCTCCCCTCTCCCAACCCCACATAGACATTTGAAAATGTTTTCTACCCACTCTCTTTCTCACTAATTCAATTCAAGTGTTATTTCCTTCTAAGAGCCTCCCCCACCAAGTCGGTGTCAGATTCTATGTTGTATATGCATATAGAGCCATATACCCTCTTATTATAGCTGCAAATCACAGATATGCCCCCTCCCCGCCCCACCCTAAAAAAAATAAAAAAATTTAAAAAACCACAAGGGCTTACACGAAATTAAAGTTTCTTTCTCCCTCATGTTCAGAATTCTTTGGCTTTATAGTGCTGACCTAGCATATGGAAGGCCCTGGGTTCAATCCTATTTCTGAAAAAAAAATTTTAAAATGTCATGTATGGAGTGCCTACTGCATACAGAACATTGTCACCCAATCCTCAGAACAGCCCGAGAAGAGCAGTTGCAGTGTTATCCCATTTATTTCAGAGGAGAAGCTGTGATTCAGAGCTTGAGCTAATGCCTTGCTCAGGGCTCTGGCTCTGAAATCCAAGCCCTTGGCCATTACTCAAGTCTGTTTCAGGATAGGCAGCAAGGTGGTAAATTCATTTCCCCTGGTCTTGCCTAATAGACCCACACTAGCTCAGCAGCTCCCAGTGCAGCCTTGATGCCTCAGGGTAGCTCAGCCTAATTCAATTCAGAGTCCTCCATTATGACAAAACCTCTGCCTCACTGAGAAACACTAGAATTGGGGGCAAAAATCAGTGCTTACATCAATTAGGATGGTTAATACTTTAAAAACAAACAAAAGGGGGAAAAAAGCATTGGAGAAGGTATGGAGAAATTGAAAGACTCATGAAGGAAGGAATAGAAAAAGCTGGGGCTGGGGCTGGGGCTGGGGCTCTGTGGTAGAGCACTCGCCTAGCATGCGTGAGGCATTGGTTTCGATTCTCAGCACCACATACAAATAAATAAAAGTTCCAAAAAACAACTAAAAAATATTAAGAAGAAAAGAAAAAGCTGCAGCTGCTGTGGGAAACAGTATAAGAATCCTCCTCAGATTAAACACATTTACCATAAGATTCAGCAATTCCACCTCAGGGTCTATACTTGAAAGACTCAAAGTGGGGACTTGACCAGGTATTTGTATACCTATATCCATTATTTGCAAGAGTCAAATTGGGAAGTAACCCAAATGTCCATCAAAGAATGAATGGAAGCTGGGCAAATTAGCTCACGCCTATAATCCCAGATACTCAGGAAACTGAGATACAAGTATCATAAGTTTGAGGCCAGCCTGAGCCATTTAGCAATACTCTGTCTCAAAATTTAAAAAGCTGGGGATGTAGCTCAGTGGTAGGGCGCCCCTTGGCTCCATCTCCTATACCACACAAAAATATTTTTAAAAAAAAGGAATGGATAAACAAAATATGGTATATACATACAATGGGGTATTATTCAGCCTTAAAAAGGAAGGAAATTTTGGAATATGCTATATTATGATGACCCTTGGAGACATGCTGAGTAAAATAAGCCAGTCGCAAAAAGACGAATACTGTATGATTCCATTTATATGAGGTACCTGGAATTGTCAAATTCATAGAGACAAAGTGCCATGGTGATTACTGGGAGGAGGGAAAAATGGGGAGAATAGTGTTTAACGGGTACAAAGAATCAGGTGGGGAATATGAAAAAATTCTGGAGATGGATGATGGTGGTGGCCATAAAACCATGTGAATATATTTAATACCAACAAACTATATGCTTAAAAATTGCTAAAATTTTAAGTTTTATGTTATGTCTATTTTACCCGCCCCCCCCCAAAACCCACATCAGTATTTCCCAGTTGGTACTCTTGGCTTGGGTTTCCAAGGGGCAAGAGAGCAGAGAGGCAGGGAGAGTAGACTGGCTCAGACCCCTTGTCCTGGGTCTTAAGACCTCTACCTTGAATGGGTTGGGTGGGGAAAAGGACCTGGACCATCTGGGGTGAATGCTGTGAATTTCCTATTCCGTGGAAGGTTTAGAAGGAAGTCTGCTGAAAAGCAGGCTCCGTCTGTCCCTTTCTATTCCTCTGTCTCCCCTGTGGCTGTGCAGGGCTTCAGTGGGACACAGAGGGCCAAGGCCAGGGTAATTAACTGGTAGAACCACACCCTGTGCTCATTCCCTCTCTATACTGCACTGTTCTCTGGTCTTGGGGTTTCTTCCCAGGGGGACTGTCCTGCTGCTACATCAGTTTCAGCATTGAAATCTTCCTGTGGGAAAGGATTCACTGATGCTAGCTCTCTGAGGAAAATGGGATCGTAAGAGCTGAGGGGCAGTAAGATTGGGATGGGGTCCTTTCCTGCCCTCTGAGTCATTAACCTATGTGGACCAAGTGTCCTATCCTGGTCACTGTGCTTGACAAAGATATAGATCAATCAGGAAGCAGAATCCAGAAAGAGAAAGCCAAGGCAGTACCACATCTCTTGTCATTGAGGCACACTTTTTAAAAATGACACTAAAATTTTTATTTTAACTTGGCATGATGGAACACACTCTAATAGTCCCAGCTACTCTGAAGGCTGAGCAGAAGGATCACTTGAGTCCAGGAGTATGGGGCCATCGTGGGCAATATCTTTAATGAAATCACAGGTTTTTAAAAAAAATTAAAAAGTCAAATAGAAGAGAAAGCAGCCCTCTATTCCCCAACTCGTTCCCCACCTCTGGCTCTTCAGATTCAACAACTTTTGACTCCTTTTTAGCTCTTTCTTCTGGTATTATCCACCCATCCCCAAAACAAGATTTTCTGGTACTTCTTAAAATTTCAGTTGCAAATATTGCCCACAGGCTTCCTATTGTGGACTTGAAAATTTTAATTGACATCTGTTCTTTTTCTTCCTTCCCCATGTCTTTAAACCCATTGGCTAAAGTCATATTTATATATTTTCTCATTATTATGACTATGTAGACATAAATGACAGCAGCATCAAATACATTTCGTTTTTATTTTTATTTTTTTTTATTTTTTGTAGTTGTGGGTGGACAGCATGCCTTTATTTTATTTATTTATTTTTATGTGGTGCTGAGGATTGAACCCAGTGCCTCACACATTTGAGGCAAGCACTCTGCCACTGAGCAATAGCCCCAGCCCTTCTTTTTGTGTTTCTTTCTGGAGTGAATTTTGCTTTTTGTCATGTACTCAGCTTTGTTTGAATCTACATGCCTTCCACAACATCCAATGATTCTATAAACCCCTTTTAATCCAATTTTCCACACAGTCAAACTTGTTGGATAATCCCTTAGTTCCATTTTCTTTTCTTTTTTTCTCTCACTGCTGCAGGCCCTCACCATGCTGGGCAGATTGCCCTCTGCCTTGCTATCAGGCTCCCTTCTGGAGATTTTCTTTTGCTGACCTCCTGGGAAGCCTGAAGAGAATTGTTTTGTAAATATTTTATATAATTTCAAGAAGCCTATCTGTCCATTGTAGAAAAAAATTTAAAGGCATAAGAAAGAAAGTAAAGGTGACATATAATTCTACCCAAGCTAGGTGTGGTGATCCCAACTTCTCAGGAGGCTGAGACAGGATCAAGGCAAGCCTCAGCAATTTAGTGAGACTCTCAGCAACTTAGGGAGATCCTGTCTCAAAATTTAAAGAAGGACTAGGGGCATAGTCAGTGCATTCCTGGGTTCGATCCCTAGTAACACAACAACAACAAAAACTTCTACCCACCCAAACATGACCATTAACATTTTTTTTTGAGAATTTTAATATTTATTTATTTTTTAGTTTCCCGCGGACACAACATCTTTTGTTTGTATGTGGTGCTGAGGATCGAACCTGGGCCGCACACATGCCAGGAGAGCGTGCTACCGCTTGAGCCACACCCCTAGCCCCAGACCATTAACATTTTGGGATATATCTTTCCGATCTTTTTTTCTACATATCAATATATGACATGTAAGTCATAAAACATCATAAAAAGGAAAAATGAGGAGTGGAGGCTATAGCTCAGTAGTAGAACATTTGCCTAACATGTGAAAAACCCCAGGTTTGATCTCCAGGAAAAAAAAATTCATTTCAGTTTCTCATTATCACCAGCCATATTTCAATAGGCACATGTGACTAGTGGCTACCATATTGAACAGTGCAGAATAGAACAAGACAGTTCTATCAGTCTGTAACAAAGATCAAAGACTTAGAATGCATAGGTGAAATTGAATTCCTAGCAGTAAAATGTGATGATTAAGATGATAGCGTCTAGAGCCAGACACTTGAGTTAAAATCCTGCTCTACTGCTTATTATCTATATGACTTTGAATGACTTAATTTCTGTGCCTCGGTTTCCCTATCTGTAGAGTGTGAGATAATGATAGTCACTACTTCAATAGTCACTACTTCATGAGTTGTTATAAACATCAAATAATTAATATCTATAAAGTGCTTAGGAAAATTCCCAGCACAAGGTAAATGCTTGGTAAAATACTTTGGTTTGCTTGTTACTAACAAATGAAGTTGATTATTTCAAATTAAGAACCTAGGTTTCTGGCTTTTCTTGGTGTTGTTCCTTTTGCAAGGCCTGGCAATCCTCCTGGCTTATGTTCCTGCACTGCTGTGGTTGGCTGTAACAGAGTAGAAGATGCCCAGGTAAGATGGAGCACAGACTCTCTAGTGGCTCACATGCCCTTTATTTTTATTTTTTTTAGGGGGTTGTTGCATATGTTCTACTCTAAGCATGTGCCTTTTTCTAATTTGCACAAAGGCCTAGAATTGGCTATTGGGCAGCACTGTTGAGGTGGCAAGCACCTGGACATGAAGAAATGTCTTAAGGCAAGTGATTATTTAGGACAGTGATCTCTCATGTTCAATTTTAAGACATAATCCAAACTGTCAGTGTTTTCTTTCTGTACCTCAAATCTTCAGTAAAGTCTAATACACATTATAGTTTGAGGTATCTGTATAGTGTATTAGAGAAAGAAAGGAATGAGGTAATCCAGCATGAGACAAAAAATGTGGGAAAGTAGAATAGGAATTAGAGAGTGAAGACCAAGAATTTCAAATAAAAATGAGCACTTGAGTCAGCAAATCCCAGTGAATTAGGAGGCTGAGGCAGGAGGCAGAAGTCACTTAATGAGAGATCCTGTCTCTAAATAAAAAATGAAAAAGGGCTAGGGATGCAGCTCAGTAGTTAAGTGCCTCTTGGTTCAATCCCTGGTTATAAATAAATAAATAAATACCTTGAAAACTCTTAGGAGTTTTTTGTTGTTGTTGTTTGTTTTCCTTCAGTACTAGGGATTAAACCCAGGGGCACTTTGTCACTGAGCTACATCCCCCTTTTTATTTTTTGAGACAGGGTCTTACTAAGTTACTGAGAGCTGTTTTTTTTTTTTTTTTTAAGAGAGAGAGAGAATTTTAATATTTATTTTTTTAGTTTTCGGCAGACACAACATCTTTGTATGTGGTGCTGAGGATCGAACCCAGGTGGCATGCATGCCAGGCGATCGTGCTACCGCTTGAGCCACATCCCCAGCCCCTGAGGGCTGGTCTTGAACTTGCAATCCTCCTTGCTCAGACTCCCAAATTGCTGGGTATACAGGTGTGTGCCATCATGCCAAGCACATCAGTGATTCTTAAGGAGAGGAGACATCCTGTTAGAAGTCATATCAGAATCAAACCATAAGCAGGCGCTTCTTCAGGCCACACAGGAGTATCAGTTAGGGATCAGGTGAGGAAACAGAATCCCTTTCAGTATTTAAAAACAGAATGGAAAAAAAAAAAAAAAACAGAATGGATTTTAAAACAAAGATTATCTGACACACTTAATCTATATTATACAAAGATTATAAAACCCCTGAAAGGGCAGGATAAGCAGGCTCAAGGTCTACTTTCCTGACTCCCAGAACACTCTCAGATGAGCCATTACCTCTGTCACCCTCAGGAACATCAGGTTCTAGGACATACTGTTTTATCTACAATTCATGTATCAGGAAGCGGGTGACACTGCTCCAACCTGAATAGGAGAGTGGAAATCTGCCTCTGCTACTTTTGCAGTTTCCTCTCAATCCTGGAGACCTGAAATTGCCATTGCATGGCCTTGCTTGCCAGAAGCAGACAGTCAAGAGCCACAAGAATATGGCAAGTAGTCCACCTCACTTCTACTTTTAAACAACATACAAACAAACCCTCTCCACAACCTACTACCCAATTTGCACCCAGATTCTGAGCTGTGTGCAACCTTGAAGCGCAGTTTTGTCTTTCCAGATTGTGTAGAAGACCCACTGGAATAGATACTGAGGGTTCACATGCCGTATTCAACACAGAGATTATTCTAGTCTGTCACCTCTAGGAAATCATCCTTGTCTCCATTATGGGCAGAGCTATTTTTGCCCTCTCTGCTATCTACGTCTTGTCTTCTAATAATAGTCCCCTGATTTTCCTTTAGGGACAATCTCCTGCTTATAGTCATGTAGATGGGTGAAACTGACCCCAGGCCTCAGGCCCCAATTCCAAAGCAGGGCATATGTCCTGCTAAGAGCCACAGCCAAGTAATATGATGCATGGCATTTTTGGTTGAAAGGTGACGCCAGCAAGCCATTGAGATGATATGATTATGTTAAGATCTGCATTCATATGGATATTGGACTCCTGCTGTCCACCTCAGCCTGCTACCGGAGAGTTCCCATTGGTTGGGGAAGTGCGGTAGGAGGGAATTCCGGAGGAGGGACTTCCTGTTGGGGGCCGGGAGAACGCGCGTGGGTCCGTCGGCAATCTTCCCGGGAATGTACGGGGCATTGGCGGCAGTTTCAAAAATAAAGTTTGTTCCTGCTTGAGTGGCTCGTGATTTTGTGCCCAGCCAGACTGCGGCAATGTCCCAGCCCTGAGTGTATCATCTTCCCTTCTTGTTCAGTATGTAATTCCTTAGAGAACATGTGAAGGGTTGTGGTATATCTCTGAAGACAGACAGGAAGAAAAGGGATTGCCTTATCCTAGACTGTTGAGATATTTACTAATCTAGAAACCAGGGACAGAATACTATGATTCATTGTCATTTTCTGAAATTTGGCAATTGTCTGACTGCAATGATCCAGATGAGCAAATCATTCACTGGTGTCTTTCAGAATTCCAAACTATCCACAAAGAAAACAATACTTATTTCAAATATTTTGCACTTTGATTAAATAAAGCATTAGAACACAGTCTCAATATTTTGTTTGGAAAATAAAGTCTCCATAACATCCTCAGACCCATCTCAACCTTCCCCCCAACACCTCACACACACACACACACACACACACACATGCACACACTCACATGTAGCTCTATCATTCACTTTCACTCTGCTTAGACTAGGGTCCTCAGAAGCTGGATCACACGCACACGTGGGCTGGGGATATGGCTCAGTTGGTAGAGTGCTTGCCTTGCAAGCACAACGCCTTGGGTTCTAATCCCCAGCACTGCCCCCCCCCCCAAAAAAAAAGAAGTTGGATCACTCACCTCGCCAGGTGTTCATGTGTTCATGTGTTCAACACCAGGTGTTGAACACATGAACCCTCAACTAAAAGAAAGAAGAGAAGTGGAGATGTAACACAGTGGTAAAGTGTTTGCCTAGCATGCATGAGGTCCCAGGTTCAATTCCAATACTATCAAAAAACAAGATGAAAAGGACTGGGGATATGGCTCAGCAGTTAAGCTCCCCTGGATTCAGTCTCCAGTACAAAATAATAATAATTATTATTGAAAAGAGTGGCAGAGAATAGGTACCTGCTTACAAACTTCCCTAGTGACTATGTAGACCTGGAGATACAACATTCTTTCTACTTGTTCAGTCCTGTTCTGTTGAGGGCCTGGACAGGCTACAGTGGAAACAGCTTGGAGTTAAGACCAGAGTTCTGACTTTGAACCAGCACAACTAAATGGGTAATTCTCTCTGAACCTCAGGTTCTCATTTGTGAAATTTATTTTTTTACTTTTGATGATTAAAATTATAATATTAGGTCAATGTTAATTTGAAGGTATGATGGCCCAAATCATAGAATAGTTTACTTTAGTAATACTCTATATGTGAAGAAGACAAATAGAATTATATTAAAGCAAAAGTTGTGAACTAGAAGTCAGGAAACTGGGGCTTTGACACTTGCTGTGTCATAAAATTAATATTACCAGGCAAGTTATTTAGCCCCTTTGTGCTCTAAAGTATGGGGAGTTGGAACAAGTGTTTTCTAATGGCCTTTCCAACTCTGAGATACTACATAAGTTCATGATTCAAAATCAACAAGAGGGTGCCAGCCCTAGTGTTTTTTGGAGGGAAGCAAATAAGAAGGGAAAGTGCATACTCTCAGTGGCTAAAGAGGCTAGATCTGAGAGATTCTTGTATTCATGGGAGTCTTCCCTGCCACTTGTTACCATCTTATTCCCAAACTCTCATGTTCAGACTCAGGATGGGAGCTGGTACATCTGAAGCCTAAAGCCACTTAAATGAGCAGGACTTTGAGTTCTGCTGAGTCTTTCTAAGGCTGGAGTCCAGGGTTTGAAAACCAGACTCTCCCAGAAGCTTATCAGAACCCATTATTGGCCCAGTCCAGGTGATTACATGGCAGTGGACTTTGTTAAGTGTCCCAGAAGTGCCACTTTGGCTGGCACCCTCATGCATGTCAGGCCTTATGCCCCGGGGGACCTGTCTCCAAGTTTGGCTGTAGTAAAGTCCATCAAAGGACCTTCCAGGAGATTTTCCAGGCAGAGAGGTGGCACTAGGAACAAGCAGCAAGGCCCACTGCACACACACCCTTTTTTTAGTGTGTGTGTGGTGCTGGAGATTGAATTCAGGGGTTTTCCATCACTGAGCTATATCCCCAGCTCTTTTCATTTTTTATTTTGAGAAAGGGTCTCCTTAAAGTGCCAAGGCTGGCCTTAAACTTGGGATCTTCCTGCTTCAGCCTCCCACATTGCTGGGATTACAGGCATGAGCCATGGGGCCCTGAACTTGCCTGGCCAAGGCCCATTTTTGTAAAGAATGTTGACTGAGGAAGCCTGGTGGGGAGAGAATATGGATTGTGGGAAGAAACAAAGGCAAGAGGGGAGGAGGAATAAGAGTGGGGAGTGCTGGAGTTACCCATGGAGGAAGAGAAGGGTTCAAGCTGCGTGAAGTGAAAAGAAGCAAGGAGTCCAACAGTTCTATTTTCATGCAGGTAGATCTTGATGTGAATAACAGATTAAAATGTAAAAGATATCAAAACATCATGTTGCACATATGTATTATTAGAGTATCTTAGTTCTATTAATCCACTATACAATGTGATTGGAAATAATGTGGGATGGAGAAAGAGAGTAATAAGTAAAATTCCAGGTTATCATCATTTTCAATAACTACATGATATCTGATTATATGGATGTACCAAATATTCCTTTATTGCTAGATATTTTAATCTTGCCTATTTCAACTATTATAAGCATGCTTCTTTGAATCTACTGGCATGTACATCTTTGTATACCTCCCTGATTATTCTTTCAGATAAATTCTCAAAAGTTGAGGTGGAAGGTCAAAGGTTTTTTTGTTGCTGTTTTGCTTTGTTTTTGGTACCAGGGATTGAACTCAAGGGCACTCAACCACTGAGCCACATCCCTAGCCCTTTTTTGTATTTTATTTAGACACAAGGTCTCATTGAGTTGTTTAGGGCCTTGCTAAGTTGCTGAGGCTGGCTTTGAACTCACAATCCTCCTGCCTCACCCTCCAGAGCTGCTGGGATTACAGGCATGTGCCACTGTGCCTGGTTTTGAAGGATTTTTTTTAAATAAATATGAACATATTGACACCTTTCCTGCAGAAATATCACATTAATTTTTTCTCCGCCACCAGAGTCTGATGCCTGATCACCTTTGAATTAACAGCTTTGGTATGTTTTGTATTAAGACCATGGCTGAGCCAGGCATGGTGATGCATGTGTATAATCCCAGAACTTTGGGAGACTGAGGCAGGAGGATCACCAAGTTTGAGGTTAGTTTCAACAATTTAGCGAGAACCTGTCTCAAAATAAAAAATTAAAAAGGGCTGGGGATGTGGCTCAGTGGTAAAGCATCCATGGGTTCAATCCTCAATGCCGCCCACCCCCCAAAAAAAATCATATCTGTACCTCTTTTCTCTGTTTTGTTTTCTGCTGGGGATTGAACCCAAGGCTGCATGCATGCTAGGGAAGCACTTTACCACTGAGCTATACCCCCAGCCCTTGTATTTTTCTTCTATAACATCAAAACTGTATATGTTTTATCCTTTGACTCAGTAATTCCATTTGTGAAAAAATTTTTAGAAAAATATTCAAGGGGCTGGGGTTTGTGGCTCAGCGGTAGAGTGCTCGCCTAGCACGTGCGAGGCCCTGGGTTCAATCCTCAGCACCACATTAAAATAAATAAATAAATAAATAAATGTATTGACAATTACAACTAAAAAAATTTTTTTAAATATTAAAAAAAAAGAAAAATTTATTTAAATTACACACGCATGAAGGGTTTAGGCTGATAGACTAATAGGTAGATTACAGTTTTGTTTTTTTTTTCCTGAGAAAACCAATTACTTTGGGTAATGATTCCTCTGTTCCTGAGGTTTGGAAAGGGCACCCTTAATTGTGCCAGAGCCTTCTTCCCATCTTTGTTCACTAAGAAGGGAGGGGCAGGAGATTACTTGCAGGTCCTTGGACAGTGCCACATTGCTCCAACACCCTCAGTCTGCAGCCTTCCTCTCTTGAAGGAGAACCACCTGCATGTAGCACTTCCTGCCTTCAGTCTCCAGAATCTTGCCTCACCCTCCTCTGAAGTCAGGCCTTGGCTCCTACACAGCTGTCTGTCCCACCCTGTCTGTCAAAGGTCACTGATGACATTTTGTTTCCAAATGCTTTTGCAGCATTATTTATGATGAGGCAGGATAATCAGTTGATATGATAATGAAATATTCTTTCACTTTCTCAAAATCCTTTTTTTAAAATATTCATTTTTTAGCTTTAGGTGGACACAATATCTTTATTTTATTTTTATGTGGTGCTGAGGATCAAACCCATGCCAGGTGAGCACGCTACTACTTGAGCCATATCCCCAGCCCCTCAAAATCCTTTTTAATCCAAGACCATCTTCCTTCTGGTCACTAGAAGCAGAGAACAAAGTCAGTAGCATTTCAGCTTTTAAACTCTCAAACTATGTATTCAAGCGTACGACTGAAAGGTTCAGGAAGAGACATTATCGGCAAAAATGATTTTCCCTACCTCTAATCCTGATAAGATTTTTGTATGATTATGAGTCCTCCAAGTTTCTTGATGAAAACTTGATCTTGAACATATCAGTGTTGGGAAATCTTTAAGATTTGATTAGGTCATGAGGGCCCTGCTGTTATTGTGGAAGTGGGTTTATTATCACAGGAATGAGTTCTTTGTTAAAATAATGAGTTTGTTCTCTCTCGCCTTTCTGCCTTCCACCTAGGGATGATGCAAAAAGAAAGCCTTCACCAGATAGGGCCCTGGATGTTGGATATCTCAGCTTCCAGGATGGTAAGAAATAAATTTCTATTGTTTACAAATTACTTACCATGAGGTATCTTTTTTTTTTTTTTTTAAAGAGAGAGGAGAGAATTTATTTATTTATTTTTAGTTTTTCGGTGGACACAACATCTTTGTTTGTACGTGGTGCTGAGGATCGAACTGGGGCCGCACGCATGCCAGGCGAGCGCGCTACCGCTTGAGCCACATCCCCAGCCCCTGTATCTTTGTTTTAATAGCGCAGAATGGACCATGGTAGACCCTACGAGGGAAGACAGGTGTAGAGTTTAAAGAGGAAGCAAAAGAACAGGAACTGTGTACTTCGTCCCATCTGAATGGGCCCAGTCAATACTTGGCCTTCCTACTTCCTCCACACCCATCATCTGAAGTTTAATAAGCCCCCTTTAGGGACTGAAAAGACCTTGATTCCTGGGCAAGATCTATGCAGGCAGCAAGACTCATAAATATATCTTCCACCATCATAGTGTGGATGGAGTAGAAATGGTACTTTGGCATGTCTGGGTTTGAGATCAGAAACAGATTGTCCAATTTATATACCTATTCCACTAGAGGGTGAGGGGTATAGTGGCAGAGAAAGGAGGTTGCTACATGAACAGATGAGGATGTGGGACTACACAGCAGATTGTCTGCAAGGAGGGGAGGTCCTTCCTACTTCGTCTACACCCATCACCTGACTGCTAAATTTCTACTCTGTTGTACCCTAGCTAAGCCATACAGGATGGCTCATCTGTTACATTTCAAACAGGAGGGCATCATGGGACAAAACAAACAAATACCAAGAGGTTGTTCCCTTCCCCCCTACTTCTTCTTTTTTTTAATATTTATGTTTTTTAGTTATAGTTCAACACATATCTTTATTTATTTATTTATATGTGGTGCTGAGGATCGAACTCAGGGCCTTGCACGCGCTAGGCAAGTGCTCTACCGCTAGGCCACAACCCCAGCCGCCCCCCTTACTTCTTGATGATGTTTATATGACTCACTTAGTAGTAGAGAGGTAAAGAGCTGGGAAAATCAGACTCAAATTATGACTAGAATTCACCAAAAATGGCTTGTGTTTTATTTTATTTTGCTATTGTTTTGCTTCTAGAGATCTGTGTTTAAGAGAAACATTTAGTTCAGTACAGAAAAGAAAGTTAAATTTTTCCATATCTGGACTTCATGCAACTGTGAAATCTGAATCTCCTTTGATGATAGTAAAATTTTGAAAAATCTGTACAATCCAACAAAAAAGGAATAGTTGTAGTACTATGAAAGAATTTAATGTTTGCAAATAATACACAACAGCATAAAATGTTTATGATGTAATGTTAAGTGAAAAAGCAGGATCTAAAAATGTATGCCAGGAGTGGTGGTGCATGCCTATAATCTGAACTAGGAGGCTGAGGCAGGAGAATTGCATGTTCAAGACCACCCTGGGCAGGATGTAGTTCTGTGGCAGAATGCCCCTGGATTCAATCTCTAGTACTGCAAAATAAATAAATGTGTCCTTTTTTACTGCAACAATGTTTAGAAGAAAAGCCTCAAAACATACATTGGAGTTGAAATAGTATTCCAATAATGAATAGGTCACAATGTTAAGAAATTGTCTTTGGAAGGCTGTAGATATTTTTCTTCTATTTTTTTCCCCCTATTTTTATCTAATTTTCCTCTATGAGCAAGTATTTCTTTAAAACTAAATTTATGCATATACATATATATTATGTATTTAACATGTGCATATTTAATGTATGTGTGTATTATTTTGAGCCTGGTTTGATGCATGGCCCAAAGTTCTGAACAAAAAAAGAATATTTCCAGGCCTCGTTTATCTCTGTCCTGCTGAGTTACTTTAAGTTAGTCTTCAGTTGCTCCTTCTTCTTGCCTAGCAAGTAAATAAATGTCAGGTGATGTCATGGACAGAATTAGCCAAGAAATGATAGATCTGTTGAATGGGAGGCTTTGTTCATGGGAAAGACAGGAAGCCCAAGTAGTCTGAGTTTTAAGTCATTGTTTCACAAAGTGTGATCCTTGGATCAGCAAGTCTCAACATTTCTTCTTGGAAATGCAAATTCTTAGGCCCCACTCCAGATCTACTGAATCAGCAATTCTGGGTGTACATCTGGCAATGAGTATTCTAGCAAGCTCTCTAGGGATTCACTAAAGTCTAATGATACATTCTTTTATTATTTTTTTAAAATAATTTTTTGGTTATACACGGACATATTATCTTTATTTTGCTTATTCATTTTTATGTGGTACTGAGGATCGAACCCAGGGTCTTACACGTGTGAGGCCTCTACTGCTAAGCCACAACCCCAGCCCTACATTCTTTTATTTTTTAAGATCAAGCGCTTTGGGGGCTGGGGTTGTGGCTCAGTGGTAGGGCACTTGCTTCTCACGTGTGAGATACTGGGTTCGATCCTCAGCACCATATAAAAATAAATAAATAATGATATTGTCTCCATCAACTTAAAAAAAATTTTTTTAATAAAAAGATCAAGGTGGTTTTTGTTTTGTTTTGTTTTGTTTTGTTTTGTTTGTATCAGGGATTGAACCCACGGGCACTTAACCACTGAGCCACATCCTCAGCCCCTTTTTTATATTTTATTTACAGACAATCTCTTTGAATTGCTTAGGGCTTCACTAAGTTGCTGAGGCTGGTTTTGAACTAACAATCCTCCTGACTCAGCCTCCTGAGCTGCTGGGATTATAGGCGTGCACCACTGTGCCCAGCAGATGGAGGTGTTTAAATAATTTAAAAAAATAAAAATAAAAAATGGAGAGCTGGAGTTGTGGCTCAGAGGTAGAGTGCTCACCTAGTATGTGTGAGATACTGGGTTTGATCCTCAGCACCACAGATTTAAAAAAACAAAAAAGGACAGTTTTAGACTTACAAATAGACTTGCAAACATAGTATAGATAGCACCATGTACTCTACACAGTTTGTCCTATTAATATCATATATTAATATGGTACATTTGGAGAAACTTTTCTAATTAATAATCACTGAAGAACTGGCTTTAGATTAGTCACTGGAGTGGTATAAATATGGAGGCTGGTAAGAACTAAGAAAGACACTGATCATTACCGTTGCCACTGTGATTAGATGGTGATATAAGATATTATGTTATTGATATATTATAACCATTTATATTTCTTCTTATTTATTTCATTAAATCCTCAATATACATCTGTGAAATACACAAAAGAAATTACCCCTAACTTACAGATTAAAAACAAAACAAAATAAGCACCAGAAAGATTTAAAAAATGTTTTTATGAGTGTATTATAGTTATACATAATACTGGTGTTCATTTTGACATAATAATTCATACATGGAATAAAATTTGCTGAATTTTTGTCTTTTCCTCCCTTTCTCCTTCCTCCTGTGCCCTTTCTCTACTCTACTGGAGACCACAAAGATTAAATGACTTTCCCAACATCCTACAACTAATAAAAGCTGATGTTTGGGGCTGGAGTTGTGGCTTAGAGGTAAGAACACGCACCTAGCACATGTGAGGTACTGGGTTTGATCCTCAGCACCACATAAAAATAAATAAAATAAAGGTATAAAAGATATAAAAAAAATGTAAAAAAAAAAAAGTTGATGTTTAAAAGTTAACTCTTCCAGGGGATGGGTTTGTGGCTGAGTGGTAGAGCGCTCGTCTATCACGTGCGAGGACCTGGGTTCGATCCTCAGCACCACATAAGAATAAATAAACAAAATAAAGGTATTGTGTCCAACTACTTCTAAAAAATAATTTTTTTTAAAAAAAGTTAACTCTTCCAATGGGCTAAGTTTTACTGATAATCTACCAGTAATATATTTATATCTTATATACATCATCTCATTTATACCCAAAACAAACTTTATAAGGTAAGCACTACTATTATATCTTTACTTTATAGACAAGTCAATGGAAGCTACTAAGTCAATGGAAAATACTAAGAAGCTTACCCTTGGACATAGTTTGAAATAAAGGAGCTGCAATTCAAACTTGGGAAATCTTCCTCAAGGGCCTACCTGTAAACCATTTAACTATAGAGTAAGTATAGTGGCTTTGTAATGTACCAACTTGGACAGGACAAATTATACTGCCCAGAATTCCCTTTTATGTGCATTTTCAGGTAGCATGGGCATCAAAAGAGATTCTTGTGGAATATTTGCACGGTGGAGGTGAAGCAGTTTTGTAGCTGACATGTTGGTTACTGCTGTCTCACTTCGTTGGCTTGGGGCAGTGGCCATTTCTGTTAACTGCTTCACCTTTCAGTAAGTCTTCTTTCAGTTTCTCTGAATCCCAGGCCCCATGTGGGTGTTTAGCTCTGTGCAGAGAGCACTGGCTTCTCCAGGATATACATACCACCAACATTAGAAGCAATAAGGACTGCCAGGCATGGTGGCCCCTGCCTGTAATTCCAGCAACTCAGGAGGCTGAGCCAGGAGGATTTCAGATTTGAGGGCAGCCAGCTTTTAATGAGACCCTCAGCAATTAGCAAGACCCTGTCTCAAAATAAAAAATAAAAAGGATTGTGGATGTGGCTCAGTGGTTTAACACCTCTAGGTTCAATCCTTTGCACATGCACCCACCTACACACACACACACACACACACAAGTAACATGGGTTTTGGTTTGTTTTCATGGGCTCAGTTTCTGCTTGTAAATTTCAGGTTATTCTTGTTTTCTTCTACTTTACAACTGCCTGTCCTGTGGACATCAAGCCCCAGCATCAGATGTGAGATCAACAGCCTTGTAGAAACTATTTAATCATCTGTCTTTGCTTTGCATGGCTATGCACCACCATAGAAATGACTGTGCAAGCTGAAACCATGCAATGTATGGTTAATCTGTGACCTTTCAGTATTTTGATTAACACTAATTAAGTTTACTTTTAGTTTTTCGTACTGGGGATTGAACCCAGAGGCATTTTACCTCTGAGCTACATCCCCAATCCTTTTTATTTTTTATTTGAAGGCAGGATCTCACTAAGTTGCCAAGGTTGATCTTGCATTTGAGGTCCTCCTGCCTCAGTCCCCAAAATATGGGATTACAGGCATGTGCTACTGTGTTGAGTTGATGAAAATATTAAAAACTCTTTATCAGTTGTCAATAGGAAAATTTAAAAAATAATTCTAGTATTTATTTAGTACACTATAATTTAACAATTAAAAATATAGAAAATTAAGAAGTCAACTAGGCATGGTGGTGTATGCCTGTAATCCCAGCAAGGCAGGCTGAGGCAAGAGGATCACATGTTGGAAGTCACTTCAGCAATTTAGTGAGACTCTATCTTAAAATAAGAAATAAAAAGGAGTAGGGAGCCGGGTGCAGTGGTGCATGCCTGCAACCCCAGCAGCTTGGGAGGCTGAAGTAAGAGGATTGTGGAATTCAAAGCCAGCCTCAGCAACTTGGTGAGGCCTTAATCAACTCATTGAGACCCTGTCTCTAATAATATATTAAAAAAGGGCTGGGGATGTGGCTCAGTGGTAAAGCAGCCCGGCTTCAAAAAGAAAGCCAGTACGAAAAAGAAAAAGAAAAAAAAGAAAGATATTTTTGGTTCACCTTAGTGGCTTGCTTCTATTTTAAAATATGGTGGGATGGGTGCAGTGGCATATGCCTGTAATTCCAGCCACTTAGGAGGCTGAGGCAGGAGAATTGCAAGTTCAAAGCCAGCATCAACAATTTAGTGAAACCCTGTCTCAAAATAAAAAAAATAAATAAAAAGAGCTGGGGATATGGCTGAGTGGCTGAGTGGTAGGTACCTCTGAGTTAAATCCCCAGTAACAAAATAAATAAATAGATAGATAGATAGATAAATTAACATATATTAAATATATTATATATTTATATTTATATATATATATATATAGTAATGGTATTTGCCTTCTGAGAAAATGTCATAAAAGACATTGAGTTTTCCTCCTGGCTTTCTCTCTTGGATAACTCAGTTCAGTCTAGGGGCAAAAGTATTTTACCCCCAGATGATTTACCATGTGGTGAGGAAACTGAAGCAGCCCTATGGAAAGGTCTATATGGCAAGGAATTGAGGCCTCATGCTAACACCCATGTAAATGAGAGATGATGAAGGTGTATTCTTCAGTCCTAGTCACCTGCAGATGACTGTAGATCTCGCAGACATCTTTAATAATGTGTGTGTTTTCTTTCTTTTATAAAACACCTTATTTTGTTTTTGATTGACATAATAATTACACAAATTTATGGGATACGATGTGATATTTTGATATATGTTATGCACTGTGTAATGATGCAATCAGGGTGACTAGTATGTCCATCATTTATTGGTTGTGGTAAAACATTTGAAATCCCTGTCTTCTTACCATTTTGAAATATACAGTACATTATTATTAAGTTTAGTTATCCTACTGTGCAGCAGAACAACAGAACTGATTTCCTCCTATCTAACTATAACATTGTATACATTGATCAACTCCCAAGTCCATATGTTTTTTTCCCCTAGTTGATATCTTGACTGCAATCTCATGAGAAATCATGAGACAGATCACCTAATTAAGCTCCTCCCAAATTCTTAGCCCTAGAGACTATGTGAGATAATAAATGATTATGATTATTCATGTCACTATATTCTGGGGTAATTTGTTATGCAGCAATATATAACAATCAGTAATTAGACTAAATATCCAATTATAAGAAAAGATTCTTGGGCTGGGGATGTGGCTCAAGCCGTAAAGCGCTCGCCTGACATGCGCAAGGCACTGGGTTCGATCCTCAGCACCACATAAAAATAAAATAAAGATGTTGTGTCCACCAAAAACTAAAAAATAAATATTAAAAAATTCTCTCTCTCTTTAAAACAAACAAACAAAGATTCTCAAAGTGGATAAAAGAAATATATGAATACATACACACACACACAAACATACATGGGTCTTATTATGTTGCCCAGGCTAGTCTTGAATTGTGGTATATTACACAATTGAAAATAAAAATTAGGGCTGGAGTTGTGGCTCTGTGGTAAAGCACTTGCCTGACGTGTGAGGCTCTGGGTTCTATCCTCAGCACTGCAATAATAATAATAATAAATAATAAATGATAATAAAAATGAAACAAAAATAAAGGTATTATATCCATCTACAGCTAAAATTTTAAATAAAATAAAATAAAAATAAAAATTAGAGGCTGGATACTGTGGTACAGGCTTGTAATCCTCGAGACTCAGCAGGCTGAGGCAAGAGGATTACAAGTTTGAGGTCAGAATGAGCTAGTTATGCCTCAAAATAAAAATAAAAAGGTCTGTGGATATTGCTTAATGGTAGAATGCAAGCTTAGCATACATGAAATCATGGGTTTCATCCCTAGCACCAAAATAAATAAATTTAATTTCAAAGATTCAACTTTTCAGAACCTACCAGGAAAAAAAACATTTTTTTTTTGGTGGTACTCTGGAGATTAAACCCAGATGTTCTCTACCTGGATATGAGCTACATATCTAGCCTTTTTGTTTGATTTGTTTTGCTTTGTTTTTGCAGGACTGGGGGTTAAACCTAGAAATGCTCTATCATTGAGCTTCATCTTTGGCATTATTATTATTATTATTATTATTTTTTGTGGTGCTGGGGATTGAACCCAGGGCCTTGTGCATGTGAGGCAAGTACTCTACTAACTGAGCTACATCCTCAGCCCAGCCCTATTATTTAGACACAGGGTTCCCTAAATTGCCAGGCTGGCCTTTTGTGATCTCCTGCCTCAGCCTCCTGAGTAGCTTGGATTACAGGCATGAGCAAATGTGTCTGGCTATTTAACCATTTCATTCAGAAACTATTCTAACTATATATATTATACTATAGAAGTGGTTCTTTCTTAAGTATAGGTTAATAAACATATTCTTTAGCTTTTTATTTAGAACTACCCTTATAGTAATATCAATTATTCTAGTCTCAGAGAAGCAATTAGAGAAATTAAAATACATGCAACTGGGGCTGGGGTTGTGGCTCAGCTGTAGAGCGCTTGCCTGGCATATATGAGGCCCTGGGTTCCATCCTCAGCACCACATATAAATAAAGGTATTGTGTGCAACTTACAACAAAAAATAAATAAATATTTAAAATAAAATAAAATACATATAACTATCGTTCCTTTACCAAACTAAATCTTCTCAATTTTCTGTGATTTTTAAATTGTCTGCCATTAAAAAAAAAGAAAAAAGAAAAAAGAAAAAGTCTTTTCCCTACATTTCAGGCTATTTTAGGTATTATGTGTTTTCTTAGGCAGCTGCGGATCAGATTTTTCCAATTTGCTACTTTATTTTTTTCCTGAGAGTTAAAAAAAAGATTATCAGGCAGATTTGAACTGTGAACTTGTGATCCTCCTGCCTCAGTTTCCTGAGTAGCTGGGATTTAGGGGTACTCCACTGCACCTGGCTCTGACCAGGGTTTCTTATGACCTGGTGTCCTTAAACTTGAATGAGAAAATAATTACATCTCTATTTTCACTAACCCGTATCTGAAATGTAGCATTTCTTTTAATTATGAATGTCGAGAACCAACTACCATATAACCTTGCCTTTTTCATCAGTAGAAATCAGATAATTTCATATCATATTCTGGTTGCTGCTGTTGTTGAAATATTGTTTATGTTTACTGCTACTTCAAAACTATAAAATTACTAGATTCATCACTAGATACTCATATTTAATGTGCTTTTCAAAAAATCATACATTACTATATTATATGTTTTAAAAAATATTTTGATTGTCATATACCAATATCCCCCAGGCTGGTAGAAGAAACAAAGGAAAGAGTAGACATGGCTTTGAGATTGAGAGCAGGAGCCCTGAGTCCCCTGAGAGGGAGCTACTGCTCACCATGTCTAGGGACAAGAGAGTCCTCCATCACCAAGCAGGGCTTGGAAACAGCTGACAAAGTCATTGTAACCTATAGGGACCAGTGCGTAATTCATGATGGGTCCCCCATCAAAAGCCCTCCCAAAGCCAATTTAGGAGGCTAAGACAGAAAGATGGCAAGTTTGAGTCCAGCCTGGGCAACTTATTGAGACTTATTGAGACTTAAAAAAGGGCTAGCGATGTAGTTCAGTGGTAGAGCACCATTGGGTTAAATCCTTAGAAACACCACCAAAAAGAAAATAGTCCTCCCCAAACTGTGCATACTCATGGAGATGGGAACCCCCCAAAAAACAAGCTGTATTTCTTATACTACTAAGGTGAGGGGCTGAAGTTTGTAGTAGCTACAAAGGCCCTTTTAGTGACTGAAGGTCTTATAGGTCTTTTGTGCATTGTAAATACAAACAACATGAAAAAAACACATGAATACCTGTGTTCAGATTGTAAGATCTCATTTGGAATTGTGTTTACTGTAAAATTAAATGAAAAAAGAACTCCCCTTTGTAGTATAGTCATATGGTCTTATAGATGATAAACAGTGAATAATTAAAAAAAAAAATAAACCCCTCTAATTGGATTGTACCTGGCCTTTGGTGAAATTCCTGAATATTGGCTCAGCTTCAGATGGGGGCTGAAGCATGGCAGCCTTTATGCCTGAGCTGAGAGAGGACATGTCCCTGGGAGAGGCAGTCCTGGACTCTCCATCTGCTGCCTCCCAGGTCAGGGAACCAAACTGGGACTCCAGACATCCTTCACTGAGTCTGTCTCCACTGCCTCTGTTAGAGGCTACATTGTTAGCCTCACTACCCAAACTCAGAGTCCTCTGTTTTACCTTCCATTTCTCCATCTCATAAATTCTCAACACATGAGCTGAAAGAAGGACCCGACCAAAAGTTGCTTCTTTCTCCTTCTAGCTTGTCCACAAATTCCCTCCCTGAAACATAAGACCCCTCTGGTGGTGACAAGCAGGGCTAACTGCCCCACTTCAACTCTTGCAGAGAGCCTCCTTTCTCACCCCTGCTTCCATTCTTTGGGCCTTTCCTACCCTCCATCTACCCAACCCTGATTAGGGAGAATGCATAGGGTCTGAAGGACCCTATGGGGGCAGCAATGAGAACAGGCCAGTAGGACTCAGGCCAGTAGGACCTGAACCCTGACCTGTCCTCTCTACAGCAGGGGCTAATGTGGGAAGAAGAGTCCCAAGTCTCAGCTTGTCAAGCTGTGCAATGGACCAACTAACAGGTAAGGCAGGCTCTTCCTGTCTCAGAGGGTGTCAGCCTCATAAACAGTTTTAATATCCAAAGTCTTCTGGGGTTTGAGTGTCTTGGCCCTGGATCAAGCTTGGGCAGGACTGTAGATTCCTCTCCCTCATTTCTATGCCTCAGCAAGCAACAGGGAGACAAGGTGACAGAGACAGGAGAACTGGGTTTTGCTTCAACATCTGCCACTAAAGAGTTAAGCATCCCTGGTCCATTTCAGTCTCCTCCTCAGTTTAGCCTTTGCTTTTCCAGATTTAAGACAAGTGGGGAGCTGGGTGTGGTGGTGCAAGTCTGTAATTCCAGGGATGCAGGAGGCTTAGGCAGAAAGATAATGAGTTCAAGACCAGTCTCAGCAACTTAGCGAGATACCCTGTCTCAAAACATAAAAAGGGCTGGGGATGTAGCTCAGTGGTAAAGTGCCCCTGTTTTAAATCTCCAGTATTGAAAAAAAAAAAGGACAATTTTTGATGGTCCACATATACTATTAAAGTTCCAAAAGATTATACTCTTTAGCTCATAGGCAAGTCAATAGGCTCAGAGAGGTTGAGGAGTTTGCCACAAGCCACAGATTCAGGCAGAGGGAGGAAAAGGATTGGAACTTACCTTTGGGGGAAATGTGACTAAATCAATCAGAGTCACTTCAACTGAATTTGGGCTGACTAAATAAAGATAGACACAAAAAGTACCTTTTTCTTTGGGTTCAGCGACTGCTCCTCAGTCACAGCTCCCACAAGGGGGGCAAAGCAGGCAAGAAAGAGGAGGAGCACGCCTGGAACCCAGGTTTTATCAATGGGGGGAGCTAATCCATGGAATATTCTATCCAAAAAAGGGCAGAAGGGTAGGATTACAACAAACAGGTGGGTATAATTCAACCCCATTGGGTGACACCCACTCCCAGAGCTGCACCTTTTTTATCCAGCAGAGGTAAAGTCCAGTTGCATTGCAGGGTACAATACCAGTCCAGTACTTCCTTACTCAGGACTTAAAAGGTGTGTGCATAGCTCCTGTTCAGGGAGGGCCCCAACACTCACCTATTTTGAATCCCAGTTTGTTCGACTGAATTATTCAAGGCAAACTGCATCTCAGAAGCTCTGCCAAAGGTCAGGTGGTCTTTGAATTAGGAACATGGCAGAAGGAGCACTCTAGGCCAGCTACTGAACTCATGGGTAGTAAGAAAGAGCTGAAAGAGGCTCGTCACCAGAGATGCAAATAGAAGCCTGGAGACCAAGCCAGATGTGAGACTGGCAGATGGAAAAAAAGGGGGTTCTGAGGTACTTTGGAGGCATTAGGATAAGAAAAAAAATGGGTGCTGCCAGGTGTGGTGGTGCACATTTGTAATTCCAGCTACTCTGGAGGCTGAGGTAGGTCCCTCTTTGGGCCTAATATCTTACTTACTGGTCCCTGTGCTTGTTAGAGAGATAAGGTACAGAGGATAAGTAATCTTGAGAGATCATTGCCTTTTCTCCTTTCATTTTTTAAATTTTAGAATATTTGATGTAGTCAAAGGAATACATGTTATGTAGATGTAGATTGTAAGCAGAACAAAGAAACACCTGTGAACCTATCATCGGGTGCAACTAGAACACCACTAGTGCTCCAAAGCCCTCATCCCCTGCCCTATCTGCAGGCAACTGCTGCCATTTTGAATTTGTTCCACAATCTTTTGCTTTTCTTTATATTTTTCCGTACATGGATCTTCAAAGAATAAGTTGTTCAATTTTGCTTATTGTTTTCATATAACAATAAAGCATTTATTCTATGAATTACTTTTTCACTCAATATTTCTGAAAGCATCCACGTGATGTGTGTTTACAGTTCACTCATTTATACCATATAGGTATTTCATTATGTGAAAATATAACAATTTTACCTGCCCAAGAGCATTTGGATTCTTTCTAGATTTTTACTGTAAGGACAATTCTGCTAAGAACAGCCAGATGTGGTGGTGTAGGCCTGTGATTCCAGCAGCTTGGGAGGCTGAGACAGGAGGATCACAAGTTCAAAGCCAGCCTCAGCAAAAGAGAGGCACTAAGCAACTCAGTGAGAACCTGTCTCTAAACAAAAAATACAAAATTGGGCTGGGGATGTGGCTCAGTGGTGGAGTGCCCCTGAATTCAATTCCTAGTAACCCCCCCCCCAAAAAAAGTTAAATTTTATAGTTTCCACTACTGGTTTTCTTTTTTTTAATATTTATTTTTCAGGTGTAGATAAACACAACACAATGCCTTTTATTTTTATGTGGTGCTGAGGATCAAACCCAGGTCCCGCCCGTGCTAGGCGAGCGCTCTACCACTGAGCCACATTCCCAGCCCCACTAGTTGGGTTTTCTATATAAGCATGTTTTTTATTTTATTTATTTATATTTTGGTGGTGGAAATTGAATTCAGGGCCTTATGCATGCTGGGCAAGCACCCTACCACTGAGCTACATCTTCAGAGCCTGTTATCTTTAAAATTAGAAAAACACAAGAAGTTATTTCATTGGAAAAACAACACAGAAATATCCAGAAGTATGTGCAGGATATTTATTATAAAAGAGTACATTTAGATTATTCTGTAAAATCTGGCAATAGAAATCACTTTAAATTATCAAAGGAGGGCTGGGGATGTGGCTCAAGTGGTAGCGCGCTCGCCTGGCATGCGTGCGGCCCGGGATCGATCCTCAGCACCACATACAAACAAAGATGTTGTGTCCGCCAAAAACTAAAAAAATAAATAAATAAATTTTAAATAAATAAATAAATTATCAAAGGAAATACTAAGGAAAACTCCCCCAGTGGAGGACCTGAGTTCCCAGATTAAAAGAGGTCACCAAAAGTCTACTACAACAAACAAACAAACAAACAAAAAATGTTGTACATATTTGTCATAAAATTTTAGAACACCAAAAATAAAGAGGAAATCATAAGAGCTTTCAATAAGATAAAGGAAAAACAGCTGGGCACAGTGGCACATGCTTGTAACTCAGGAGACTGAGACAGGAGAATCACAAGTTGGAAGCTAGCCTCAGCAAGTTAGCAAGACCCTGTTTCGAAATAAAAAATAAAAAGGGATGACGATGTAGCTCAGGGGTAGAGCACTTGCCTAGCATGTGTGAGGTCCTGGGTTTAATCCCCAATAGTGCGTGCACACACAAACACACCCACACAAATGTTTCTATGCTTAACTGAAATAACCATGTATATGAGGGTAGAATAGACATACTCAGACATACAAGTGCTCAGATATTTCATTTTCTAAGGACTCAATCTTAGAACACACCTGGAGGATGTATTTTAGCAAAATGGGATGTACAACATGAAAGAGTAAGCTGTGGAATTTGAAAACAGGAGATCCAATTGGGGGCAGCAATGAGAACAGGCCAGTAGGACTCAGGTGTGCACAGGCCCCAGGCAGTCACAAGTAGTCCAAACTGAAGCAGGAGTGGGGACTGCAGGATGGATACCTTTAGATTCCAAAATGCAAATGAAACCAACAAAGGGTTCAAACTGCATTTGAGTATATTGAAAAACTATTGACGCAGAATGTGGTGGTATATGCCTGTAATTCCAACAATCTGGGAGGCTGAGGCAGGAGGATTCTAAATTCAAAGCCAGCCTTAGCAACTTATCAAGACCCTGAGCAACATAGTCTCAAAATAAAAAATAAAAAAGTGGGAGTGGGACTGGGGATGTGGCTCTGTGGCTAAGTGCCCCTGTATTCAAACCCTCTTACCAAAAAGAAAAAAGAAAAACTTGATAGTCATGTGACAGGTCTTCTGAAGCATTTGGAAAAAGTACTGAAATAGAGATAGGCACTTAGAAAACTATGCAAATGAAACTATGACAATTGATAATTTCAGGAAAGCAAAAGTTACACAAAAAAGGAAATATAATTAGAATATGGGAAGTCAACATGATGCCTACAATTGATGAACTATGACATGGCAGTGTGTGTGCATCATTTGGAAATATGGAGATAAACAAGAGGAAAAATGGTTAAGATTGTTGAAAGTGGTTGTCTCTGGAAAATGGGTAAAGGACTGTTGGGTTTTTCCATAAACCTGTAGCCTTAAAAAAAAAAAAAAAGTCCAAACCAAACCAAAATAAAAAACCCATGAGTCTGGTATGGTGGCACATGCTGGTAATTCCAGAAATTCATGAGGCTGAGGCAAGAGGGTTGCAAATTCAAGGCCAGACTTGGCAACTTAGTGAGGCCCTAAGCAACTCAGAAAGACCCTGTCTCTAAATAAAATACAAAAAGGTCTGGGAGTGTGGCTCAGTGGTTAAGTGCCCCTGGGTTTAATCCCAGGTACCAAAACAAACAAACAAACAAATTATGTGCACTCAGTATTTTGATAAAAATGGGGACACACATACATTGCTGATCCAAATGTAAAATGGTACAGCCATTTACCCTAAAAAAGTCAAAATATATAGTTACCATACAACCCAGTAATTCCATTTCAAGGTATATACCCAAGAGAATTGAAAACAGGTGCTCAAACAAATTCTTGCATAGGAATAGCTTTTGCAGTATTCACAATAACCAAAAAAAAAAAATGGCAACAACTAAAATATACATCAACTGATGAATGGATACATGCAGTACATCCATACAATTGTAATGTATACAAAAAAATGAAATGCTGATATATTCTGCATGAATGAACCTTGAGAGCATTATGACACGTGAAGGAAGCCAGACATAAAAGGCCATATATTGTATGATTTCTTTATTTTTATATATTTATTTGTTTATTTTCTGCTAATGTTAAATGTCCAGAACAGGCAAATCCATAGAAACAGCAAGTAGTTTGGTGCCCTGGGGATATAGCTCAGTGGAGTGTGTGCTTAGCATGGGCAAGGAGCATGAGAGGGGAAGAGGAGGAGTGATAGCTAATAGGTACTCGGTTTCTTTTTTTGGGTAATGAAAATGTCGTTATGCTTGCAAGACATTGTGAAAATACACACACACACACACACACACATATATATTTATATTTATTTGTTTTTTCCAGTGCTGGACCCAGGGGTAATGTAGCTTTACTGCTGAGCTACATTACCAGCCCTTTTTATTTGTTAAATTTATTTATTTATTTTTATTTTTAGGTACCAGGGATGGAACCCAGAGGTACTTAACCACTAAGTCACATCCTCAGCCCTTTTTTGAATTTATTTAAAGACAGGGTCTCACTGAATTGCTTAGGGCCTTGCTAAGTTGCTGAAGCTGGCTTTTAACTCCTGATCCTCCTGCCTCAGCCACCTGAACCTCTGAAATTACACGCATGCGCCCTGGCACCCAGTTTATTTGTTAAATTTATTTTTGTGTATTTATTTCTTTTCTTTTTGTGCTGGGGATCCAACCCAGGGCCTTCTGCATGCCAGGCAAGAACACTAGCACTGAGCTAGATTCCCATCCCTTATTTATTTATTTTTTTGAGACAAAATAAGGCTGGCCTCAAACTTCTGATCCTCCCTATTCAAACTCCTGAGTAGTTGGATTACAGGCATTCACAACATTGTGAATATATTAAAAACCACTGAATTGCACACTTTAGAATGGCCAAACAATAAATTTGTGTCGTGTATATTTTATCTCAATTAAAGACACATTCAGTTATAACACAGAACCCAATTGAAAAGGTCTTAAACAATAATAATTAAAAAAAAAAGACGAAGCTGTTTTTCGAGTTAGAAGTATTTAAAAACAAAACAAAACACACTATATGCATGTTCATCTGCTATTCTTCCAAGGGCCTAAAATCCATTGGGCCTCTGCGCACAGGACTCTGAAAGTAATTTGGTGATCTATTCTGCAGAGGCGCTGGGGAGGACAGTACATTGTAGTGGTAAGGACGTGGTGGGTGCCTGAGAGTCAGACCCTCCAAAGCTCTGGTCTGCCACTGGCTGATGCAAGAGGCTCGGTTTTTCTCATTACTAAAGTGAGGGCAATAACAGTTCTTATCCATCGGTTGTGAAAATTAGAAAAGACGACACTTGTAAGCCTCAGGCACGGGGCCTTGGCCGTAGTAAACACTTAAGTCAGGTATTTAATGTTGGACAACCCGCTAAACGTGGACACTGTGGGAACGCCCTCCCCGCGCCCAGTGTTCCATTCGCATAGAGGAGCTGAACAGGTAGCAGAAGAGGATTTCAGGCAAAGGCAATAATATCTAAATTTACTTAGCCGTCACTCCGAGCTGTGCCCAGTTAGCTCGTCGCCCTAGGCCATCCACACAGCCAGCAGGTCCGTCCATGAGCCACCCTGAAGTGTCCTTGGAGCCCAGGAAGCCGGCGGCCTTTGGGCTGGGGCGGAGCTGCTGGACGGAGGGAGGGCGCGGGGACAGGATTGGGGCGGAGCTCTGCAGAGCGAGGAAAGGCTCCGCCCGCCTGCCGCCGCGGCCTTAGGCGGGATCCTGCTGCTTCTAGGGACACTGCACCGCTCCCGCCCCCGAGCAGAGTGTGCGGGCGAAGACCCTTTGTGGACATTCCGCGAGAGAGGGGCCCCGGGGTCGCGACGACCGAAAGGGCTGCAGGACAGGGATCGGGAAGCCTGGGGTCACCAAAATCAAAAGGGGGAATAGGGAAACTGAGATCAGTGGGGATGGAAAAACTGAGGTCAGAGGGAAAGGGAAAATGGACATCTGAATGAACACGGGTGAGGCGTCGCGGGAAACAGGGTATCAGAATCCCTGGGGCAGCGCCCCGGGGCCCCACTTACTTTACTATACCTCTCTTGTCAGAGTGCTGTCCCTTCCCTTAAAGCTCATGTCTTAGGACTGAGTTTATTCACTTGTCCCCTTCTCTAGTCCGGAAAATCGTTTGCCAAGTTTTTGCTCGGTTTGGACAAAGGATTGGCTCCTTGAACGTAGAGCAGGACTTTCATCTCTTAATCCCCAGTGCCTGGCCCTTGGTAGGCTCTCAATAGAATGCTGCACAATTCAACTTCCTTTCCTGGGTTGGGCAGAAGTCTCACCCTTGTGACTATAGAAACAAAGTGGAGAATTATGATGGTTAACTTTGCCCAGTACTAAGAAGTTGGTTACTGTAATCCTTTTATGTATACATCGGTGGACAATGTCAAAGCTTCCTCATTGCTCTTTTCTCTTTTGGGCCTCACGCTCTCCTTTGGAAGTAGATATGGCTAATAGCAATTTTTATTTTGCAGGTGAGGAAAAAGGTTCAGAAGAGAAACCCAGGAAGATGGCACATAGATCCCAGTCTTGCCTGATCTCTGGGGCCAGGTTTTCTAGGGCTTTTCCAATAGGCTTCTAGCTATGGAAGAGCATACAGCTATTTCTCCTGCTTCTCCATTGGGGGACTGCAGTTGTAAAAGCAATGGAACAAAGGGAAGGCCTGGCTCTGAGGATTATGGCCAACAGCAAGTGGTATGGTGAAAAGGGTTACGTGGGGAGAGTAATGTTACCATTTAATGCCAGTGTAAGTTTGATTCTGTGCAGATGTACTTACCAAATCTTTCCTGGGGTAAATACCTAGGGAGGAGTGCAACAATGAATAACATAAAGCTTGCACTCAGGAAGCCAAAACTTGATAGGGTAGTAGATCATGAGATTTCTCTAAAATAGTGTTTCTCAACCAGAGATTCATGGAATACCTGTGGATTTTCTTTTCTTTCTTTCTTTCTTTGGGTACTGGGGATTGAACCTAGGGGTACTCTATCACTAAGCTATACCATCACACCTTTTTATTTTTTATTTTTTGATAGGTCTTGCCAAGTTGCTGAGGCTGGTCTTTGATTTGCAATCTTCCTGCTTCAACCTCTGGAGCTGCTAGGATTATAGGCATACACCACTGCTCCTGGTTCTGTGGAGCTTTTTAAGAGAACATAAGCAGCTGGGCCTGATGGCATGCCTATATTCCAACTACTGAGAGCCTAAGGAAGGAGGATCACTTCAACTCAGAATTTAGAGGCCAGCCTAGGCAACATAGTGAGGCCTTGCCTTGATAAACAATGAAAGAAAGAAAGGAAAGAAGGAAGGAGAAACTAAGGATATAATTGAGTATTTAGACACTTATACTGTCCTTGCTGCGGTGTAGAAGTTGAACAGACTTTTTTTATAGAATTTTTAAAAAATATTTTTTAGTTGCAAATGGATCCTTTATTTTATTTATTTATATGAGGTGCTGGGGATTAAACCCAGGGCCTCACACATGCCAGGCAAATGCTCTACCACTGAACCACAACTCCAGCCTCTGAACAGACTTTTCTGACAAGATTAAATCCTTAGGTATGAGTGTAAATCAGGGAGATAACTCCTAAAGTTAAATATTTTGTTAATCTATTTTGTGGCATTTCCAAACAACTGTCATTTCATATTTAAAAAGTTTTAAAGGGGATATATTTATCATTTTACCACAAAATTTGGGAATAGGCCATACCAGTGGCTTGAAAACAATTTATGTGTATCTGTTGGGGAATTAATTAAAAAACAAAGTGATACATCCATACAATGGAATACTGTACACCTATCACAAAAGATGATAAAGACCAGATGCAATGGCACGTGTGTAATCCCAGTCACTTGGGAAGCTGAGACAGGAGGATTTCAAGTTCAAGGCCACCTGGGCAACTTAGCAAGACTATTTCAAAATTAAAAAGGGCTGGGCGTATGGCTCAGTGGTAATGTGCCCCTAGGTTCAATCCTAGTACTGTAAAACAACAACAACAACAACAAAACAGATAAAGAAGTTTATTAACTAAAGTAGGATAAACTCCAAGATTTATATTTGGATTTATATATCCTTATGATTATATAGAGATTTAGGAATAAAGTTACCAAAATTTGGTGGTGACTGGCTCTGGGTGGTGAGATTTTAGATAATATTTTCTCATACCTTTCTGTGATATCTAAGCTATTCACAAAATTTTAGTTTGTAAAATGTTTTTTCTTTATGAAATAATTTTTTAAAAAGTGGAAACTGACTAGAAACATTATAAGGAATAATACAAATTTGAAGTTTACTATGACTGGGCAGGGTGGCACATGTCTGTAGTCTTAGCTATTTGGGAATCTAAGGCAGGAGGATCACAAATTTGAGGCCAGCCTTGGCAAGTTCAAGAGACCCTATCTCAAAAACAAGGCAAAAAGGGGGTTTTGTGGATGTAACTCAGTGGTAAAGTGGTTGCTTAGCATGCATGAGGCCCTGGGTTAATCCCCAGCTTCACAAGAATAAAAGAAATTTACTGTGTATTAGACATTACAAGAAGTGTGCTTTATACACATTTACCTGATTTCTCACAACCCTATGAGATTATCATCATGTTTTACAATTGAGCAAACTGAGGTTTGAAAAGTTTATTGCCCATAATCACAAAAGTAGTAAGCAGTGGGTGCAGGCTGTGGATATAGCTTAGTTGGGCTCAAACCCCAGCACCATTTAAAAAAAAAAAAAAAAGGAATAAGTAGTAGGTGCAGGATTAAAACTCAAGTTTCTTGACTGCAGAGTTAGGTCTCTCTTGTCTGACCTACAGGAAAGTAGAACCTTATCTTTGGAAATAAATAAATTTATCAATTTTTTTTTTTGTGTGTGTATAAACCAGAGCCTTACACATGCTAGGTAAGCACTCTACCACTGAGCTACATCCACAGCCCTATCAACATCTTTTTTTTTTTTTTTTTGTACTGGGGATTAAACGCAGAAGTGCTTTATCACTGAGCTACATCCCTGTCCCTTTTTTACTTTTCATTTTGAGATAGGGTTTCTCAAAGCTGTTGAGGGTCTAAGTTGCTGAGGCTGGCCTCGACTTGTGGATCCTTCTGCTTCAACCTCCCAAGTCACTGGTATTATTGACCTGTGTCATCACACTGGCCCCCAGCCCTACCAACATCTTAAATACTATCTTTATCAATCTCATCAATTATACCTCCAAGGCTAATTTTTCTTTTGCCTATTCAGAAGCAAGAACTATATACTGCAAAAAATAAAATAAAATAAAGTCGTCATTGTTTTTTGTTTTTGGTACCAGGGATTCAACCCAGGAGTGCTTAACCACTGACCTATATCCCCAACTTGCTTTATTTTTTTTTATTTTGAGGCAGGGTCTTGTTTAGGGCCTCCCTAAACTGCTTAGGGCCTCCATAAACTGCTAAGGCTGGCCTTGAACTTGTGAACCTCCTGCCTCAGCCTCCTGAGCAGCTACAATTACAGGCCTGTGCTAGGCCTGAGCCAGGCCTGTGCCATGCCTGGCCCCAAAGTCATTATTAACGAAGACAGAAAACTTCCCCAGTACTATGAAGGAAAAAAGAAAGAAGGAAATAAAGTAAACTTTCTGTGGTATTATGCTGCATCACTGACTCCATGGAACTTTGCCTTTGAATAATGGAAGATAACATAGCATGGTTCCTTGAATCTATGCTGGCCCTTTGTTTGCTTTAATCAACAGAATATAGTGAAAGTGCCAATTCTGGACCTAAGTCTTAAGAAGGCTTAATAGCTTCCATTTTTGTCTTTTGGGAGTACTGAGTGAATGTGTAAGAAGTCTGGATACTCTGCTGGAGAGACTGTGAAGAAAAGCCATATGGTGAGGGAGAATTTCAGACTACAGGAGAGACCCCTCTGTTTCTGCTGAATCAGCCCCCAGCTGATGCGCGACCATTGACAAAGACAGCACAACAGCTGGTTTGATCACAATCTAGACTGCAGAACTGTGAGCAAATAAAATGGTGGTTGTTTTAACACATGTTTTGGAATGGTTTGTTACACAGTAATGAAAACATCTCCTGAGCTTTTTTCCTAGGGCTGGTATACTCAGTTTTGCAAAAAGCTGGTCTCCATTCTTTACTCTCTGCTATTTCTCACTTTTATGGTGATAGTTTGTCAGAGCCTTTTGCATTTACTAGCACTCCAGCAAGCTATTATTTTTTTTTGTTTATGTGAGGCTCTGGTGAGGATACCTAGGGCCTTGTGCATACTAAAAGTGCACTATACTACTGAGCTACACTTCCTCTTCTTAAATATTAAGAGGTTCTAGGTCCTGATGCTAGTTCTAGATTTGTTTCTAATTTTATGCTTTTTAAAAAGATCATTAACTTTTCTGTTTCAGCTGTAAAAATGGGAAGACTAAACTCACTCTACTTAACCAGAGGGTAAAAGTGAGTATAGCCTAGCTGAAAATGAAGTGCATTAACAGAACATGCAGCTTAATAGATAGATGAAGAAGTAAAAGGAATGTGAACTTTATGTCATCTGAATGTAAGATGTTGAACGACTTCACATCTCTGATCCTCAGTTCTTAGTCTGTAAATGAAATAATACCCACCCCCCATCTCACAGGTTTGTCTCTGATGACTAAATGATGCATTCATTACATAGAGCTCTGATGCACAATAAGTGCTAACTGCCCATTAATAATCGCCAAAACCTTCATATTCCAGTCCAACTCCAGAGTGTGATTTAGCAACTCTAAAATAAGACCCAGAAAGCCACTTAAAAACAGAAGAAAGCCAGGTATGGTGGTTCACGTCTGTAATTCTGGAGACCATGGAGGCTGACGCAGGAGGATCACAAATTAGATGCCAGCCTCATAATTCAACAGGACCCTGTCTCAAAATAAAAAATAAAAAGGGCAGCTAGGAGTGGTGTCCCACTCCTTTAATCCCAGCATCTCTGTAAGCCTACACAGGAGGATCACAAATTTAAGCAGCTTCAGCAATTTACTGAGGCCCTAAGATATTTAGACACTGTCTCAAAATAAAGCCAGGTGCAGTGGCAGGCCTCCAATCCAAGCGACTAAAGAGGTTGAGGCAGGAGGATCCCAAGTTCAAAGCCAATCTCAGCAATTTTGCTATTTTGCTAGGCCCTAAGTAACTTAATCAGACACTGTCTCAAAATAAAAAATAAAAAAAGTCTGGGGATGTGGCTCAGTGAGTAAGTGCCCCTGGGTTCAATCCCTGTTACCAAATAAATAATAATAAAAAAAGGTCTGGGGATGTAGCTCAGCGGTAAATTGCTCCTGGATTAAATCCCCAGTACTATAAATAAATATAAGTAAATAAATAAGAAGGGCTGGGGATGTAGCTCAGGGGTAGAGTGCCTCTGGGTTCAATTCCCTGTACCACAAAACAAAAAAATACCATATTTCCTAGAAGATTCGAGAACAGGTCGCCTTTGGTCACACTGCAAAGGACCCGGTTCATTTACCACCAATCCCCAGCCTTCTCTCAAAAAGAAGCCTCGAACGCCAGATATCGCGACAGTTTAATCTTCCTGCAGACTAGGCCATAGATATCGCGAGAGTGACTTGTCCAATCACGAGGTTAGATAGCTTCACAAGATGGCGGCGCGCTGGAAGCGTCACATCTGCGTTTCTTGGAGCTTCACGCAGCGGGTGGCAAAATTCTGAGATTTTACAGGCCCACACTAGGCACAACGTCGGTGAGGAACATCGCTGACAGAGGTGGGTTGCTTAACACTTTGTTTGGGTTTACGATTATGGGTCACATTGTTAGCACGACCTCTGTAACAACATCCCATGGATCGTTTAGTTTCCTCATTGTCGCGTTCTGGGCTCTTGGGGTATGTTGTCTTCGGGTCTAGAAAGGGAGACCTGGTGCAGGTGGGTGTTTGCGGGCGCGGGGGCGCCCTACCATGTTATGAGTGGGTGGGAGGAGTTGAAAGACGGGGTTGAAGTAGGGAAGACCCTTCGGGGCTGATGTTTAGAGAGATCTGAAACTGAGGCGGGAAGACAAATGGAGTGGGTAAGGTAAGGATGTGGAAGGAGTGGAGGAGCTGGAGAACTGGCAGTGGCAGGACAAGTGGAAAAAGTCGGATTTATGGGGGGAGGAGAGAAGAGAAAACGGAGCTTAGGATCGAGGTGGAAGGAATCATTTGAGAAGGAATTCGACTTTCTAAAAGCAGAATTTAGTTAAATTTACAAGTTTTCATGTTAAGAAATATGGTAATTGAAGGTTAAGGGTTATGAGGAATCAAGGAAACAGAAGCATGGAAATGAGAAAGAGCAAAGAACGTCTGTGTGTCAGCCTCAAGAATACTACTTGGGGCTGGGGATGTGGCTCAAGCGGTAGCGCGCTCCCCAGGCGTGCGTGCGGCCCGGGTTCGATCCTCAGTACCACATACAAACAAAGATGTTGGGTCCGCTGAGAACTAACTAACTAAATAAATAAATATTAAAAATTAAAAAAAAAAAGAATACTACTTCTTTAGCTTTCTGGACTAAGGTAACCCGGGAGAAGTTCCAGCCCTTGGGCTGCGCTTTTTTTTGACACTCAAGATGGGGAAGGGACTGCCAACTCATTAAGGGTAACCTGGACAGTGAAAAGAATTCCATCATCGTTCTTTCTTTTTCTCCCATCGTTCTTTGAATCAACAAATAATTAAGTGCCTGCTCTCCTAGGCCCTGTTTTAGGTTCTGGGATATCATAGTGAACAAAGCAGACAAAATATTTTTCTTCATGAAGTTTATTGGCATAAGCAAAATAAATGTCTAAAGGGTAAATTCTATGTAGAACGCTAAAGCTAGGAAGTAAAATAAAAGCTAGGAAGTAAAATAAGATGCATTCATTCACTGCACATTTAAATGGGGTACTTAGGAAAGTTGTCAATGAGAAGTTGACATTTGACTAAAGACCTGAATAAGATGAGGGTACTTTCAGTGTATATATTTCTGGGGGAAGAACAGTCCAGGCACACTGACAGCAAGTGCAAAAGCCCTAGGGCATGAGTGTGCTAGACTTGATAGAAAATAGCAAGAAGACCAATGTGGCTTTTATGTTCTAGAGTAGAATGAGCCTGGAAAAGTAGATTAAAATGGGGAGTGACAATGCTGATGTCAGGTAAGAGTTGACACCTAGGCTGGGGTTGTAGCTCAGACACATAAAAATAAATAAAATACAGTATCATGTCCATAAAAAAGAGTTGACACCTAGCTAAACTTTAAGAAATAGATATATTTAGCTTAAAATCCAGTGCTCTTGTTAGGAGGGTGGGTAGCAAAGAACCAGCTTTATTGACTCATTTTGCATCTGTTCTGACCAGAATAACTAATGCAGGAAATGAACTGAATTTATTACATTTGTAATTAACTTGGTCATATGTAACCTCGTTGACATTTAAAAATGTTTCACACATGTTCAGAGTGTTATGTCAGCTATGTAGTCTTAAGTATCTTTTATTTTCTGAGATAGGGTCTTGCTAAGTTTCTTAGGGCTCACTGAGTTGCTGAGGCAGGCTTTGAATTTGCGGTCCTCCTTCCTCATGTGTGTATACACACACACACACACACACAAATGTGCCCATACTTTTTGTACAAATCATTTGTATAATCATTTGTCTGTTGATGGACACTTGAGTTGTTGCCACCATTTTGCCATTGTGAATAATGCTGCTTTGACCATTGATGTACATTTGTGTTCCTGCACTCAATTCTTTGGGGGATATACCTAGGAGTGTAAAATTACTAAATATGGTACTTCTCTCTCTTTTTTTCTTTTTTCTTTTTTTAGATGGGGAATTGAACCCTGGGGTGTTTAACCTCTTAGCCACATCCACAGACTTTTTTATATTTTACTTTGAGACAGGGTCATTAAGTTGGTTAGAGTTTTGCTAAGTTGCTGATGCTGACTTTGAACTTGCCATCCTCCTGTTTTAGCCTACTGAGCTGCTGGGATTATAGGTATGTGACACTGTGCCCAGCAATATGGTAATTCTTGCTGAGTTTTTTTTTCCTCCCCAAACCCCCACAAGTCCATTTTTAGTTCTTTACTTTTCATTAGTTTAAATTCTTGAAGGATACAACATCACATAACTTCTGTGCCCAGTGGCCTTAGAAAGTTTGCTTTGGAATGTAGCATGAACCATGTCATTGTTTCCATGGGCACAAGCTACCTTTCCCCAGGTACTCTGGTTTTCTTCAGTTTGCCACCAAAAGTTACTTTGTTGTTTTTTGCCTTGTATATGCAAGCATATCTCTTGCCTCGCTAGAATTCAGTTTCATCTCTAGAGTAAATACCTTCAGTTTTAAGAAGAGCTGGGTGTTCCCTTTGGTTCTGGGAACTCCACTTACAGCCAGCACCCCAGGTTTCCAAACTTTTTGAAGTCCTGTTCTCGATAGGGCTACACCGGCTCCAAGATGAGTATATGTTTAGCTTATTTTTTTTCTTTTTTCTTTTTTAGCAGTGCTTGAGGCCTATGTTTAACTTTTATTTATTTTATTTATTTTTTGCGGTACCAGGGACTGAACTCAGAGAGTCTTTACCACTGAGCCACATCCCCAGTAGTTTTATATTTTATTTATTTATTTTTTAAAAATTTTTTTATTAGTTGCTCAAAACATTACAATGAACTTGACATATCATACATTTGATTCAAATGGGGTACTATGAACCGAAGGATCTTTATATTTTATTTTTGAGATAAGGTCTTCTAAATTGCTTAGGGCCTCCATTAAGTTGCTGAGACTGGCTTCGAACTTATCATCCTCTTGCTTCAGACTCTGGAGCTGCTGGGATTACAGGTGTGTGCCACTGTACTCAGCCTGTGTTTAACTTTTTAAAGAATCACTCAACTCTTTTTTTCCACAGCAGCTGTACCATTCTGTTACTTTCCTACCAGTAATGCATGAGGGCTCCAGTTTCTGCACATCCTTGCAAACACTTGTTTTCTGATTTTGTTTATAATAGCTATCCCAATGGATGTGAAGTGATATCTCCTTCTGGTTTTGATTTGTATTGCTCTAATGACTAATAGTGTTGTGCATCTTTTCATGTGCTTACTGTGTACATTTTCAAAATGTAATTTCTACTTCCTGAGTTGACTGGAAAAGACATGTTGGCTGTAACTGTTGACTTGGCTTCCATGACTTTCCCCATTAATGTTTTTCAACTAAATATGCTGATCTTTTACCTTTTTTTTTCCCCCTAAAGATGGCGCCAATTAAATCAATGCACGAAAGAAATAGATACAAGGACATACCTCCTGACTTTGCATATCTGGCATCCAAATACCCAGATTTTAAGCAGCATGTTCAGATAAATCTGAATGGAAGAGTAAGGTAGGTAACAGATGAAAAGTCATTAATACTTCATCATTCCTGTGTGATCTGAATGGACATTATGTAATGGAAAACAAGCTAGACTGATAGAAGTAGACATTTCATTAAACATTTCCTGTGATCTTGGATAGTCACTTAACCTCCCTGGGTCGCAATTTTTTTTTTTTTTTTCGTACTGGGGATTTAACCCAGGGAGTTATATCACTGACCTACTTCCTTAGTCTTTTTTTCCCCTCTATTTTTTATTTTGAGACAAGGTCTCACTAAGTTGCTGAGGGTCTCACTAAATTGCCAGGGCCAACCTCAAACTTGTGACCTTTCTTCCTCAACCTCCTGAATGACTATAGGCCTGAGGGATTACAGGTCTGCACCACTGTGCCTGGCCTCGTTTTATTTGTTTATTTTTTAAACCTGTGAAATGAAAGGATTGAGCCTGATGTGTTTGGACTTTCTTTTGGGTTAAAAAAAATTTTTTTTGTTGTTAAAATTATTGTATGCAGAGATCCCAGAGTGATTACAGAGACTAGGATTGTAGTCTGTGTGATCTAAAACTTGGTGATTGGCGAGAGTTTAAAGGCCTTATTTTGGGAAGTGTATGTTTGGGCTGGGGATATAGTTCAGTTGGTAGAGTGCTTGCCTTGCATGTAGAAAGCCCTGGGTTCAATCCCCGGCACCACAAAAAAAGAAAAAAGAAGTGTATGTTTATTTTATCAGAGTTAGAAAAATAATAACCATAATATCAAAACTGAGTTCATAGATATTTTACTTAAAATGTTGCTACATTTAAGTTAAAAGGTTAATTAAAAAGTAGTGTTTAAAAAAAAAAAAGTAGTGTTTTTTTTTTTTTTTTTTAAACTAGGGATTGAACCCAGGGGTGCTCTGCCACTGAGCTACATCTCCAGTCCTCTTTATTTTTATGTTGATAGAGCATTTTGCTAAGTCCAATGGCTGGGATTGAATTTATGGTCTTCCTGCTTCAGCTTCTCAAATTGCTGGGATTACAGGTGTATGCCACTATATGTGGTAAAAGGTTAATTTTTGAAAATTAAGAAAATATGTCGGGTGAGCTCAGTGGTAGGACATTTACCTAGCATGTGTGAGGCCCTGAGTTTAATCCCCAGTACTGGGTAGGCAGCTACTCAGAGATTGAGGCTGGAAGATCACAAGTTCAAGGACAGCCTGAGCAACTTAGTGAGACCCCACTTGATAATAAAATAAAAAGGTCCGGGGATGTAACTCAATGGTAGAGTATTTGCCTTGTATGTGGGAAGCCCTGGGTTCAATCCCCTATAAAATGACCGTCCACCAAACAACAAAATCCCCAGCAACATCCCCCCCAAAAAGAAAAAAAATGTAGGGGTGCCTTAGGAAATGGCAAAAATTATGATAAAGCATGTAAGGTATGTAATGATATGTGTACTGTATGCATGAAAAGGAGTTATTTCTGTGTTCCCAAATTCTGTGGCACTTATTAAGGGACTTTCTGCAAAGTGTTGTTCTTCACCTTTGGGGAGAAAGAGAAGCGGGGTTTTGTTTTGTGTTTTTTTTTTTTTTTTTTTTTAAAGTACCAGGAATTGAACCCAGGGGCGCTTAACCACTGAACCACATCCCCAGCCCTTTTAAAATTTTTATTAAGAAAAAGGATCTCATTAAGTTGCTTAGGGCCTCATAAGTTGCTGAGGCTGGCCTTGAATTTGCAATCCTCCTGCCTCAGTCTCAAACTGCTGGGATTACAGGCATGTGCTATCATGCCCAGTTGGAGCAGGGGGTTTGAAGAGAAGAAGGAAGGTAAAGCAAAATAGGATCACAGAGCTTGAGGCATTTTGCTGACCTCTTTACTCCAAGCACTGTCCTTGTGGCTTTAAAAATGGAGGCCCTAGAGTGGGTCTTAACATGGGAGCCCAGATACTCTTTTTTTATTTTATTTACTTTTTTTCATGTGGTGCTGAGGATTGAACCCGGTGTCTTACACATGCAAGGCAAGCGTTCTGCCACTGAGACACAATCCCAGCCCCATGTACTCTTAAAATCATGTTAATGTTTTTTTTTTTTAATATTTATTTTTTAATTGTAGCTGGACACAATACCTTTATTTTATTTATTTATTTTTATGTGGGGCTGAGGATTGAACCCAGGGCCTCGCACATGCTAGGCAGGCGCAAGTGCTCTACTGCTGAGCCACGATCTCAGCCCCTATGTTAATGTTTTTAAAAAATAGGTTTGTTATTTTTTCTGGGAGATAATTGATCCTTAGCTTTCATCAGATTCCCAGCAGTATCTGATACCCAGATCTCTAACATATACATAGGTTGAGAGCAAATGCCTTAGAACTGTGGTTGCCAAGCTTTTATGATCACCTACTCCGCTCAGTTTATTAAAAAAAAAAAAAAAATGAGCATAGCTGATATGTGAATGCTTGTACTAAATAATACTGCTATGTAAGCACATTTGAAAACATGCTTTTTTAAAAAAATAGTTTTTAGTTTTAGGTGGACACAATATCTTTATTTTTGTATGTGGTGCTGAGGATCAAACCCAGTGCCTCATGCATACTAGGCGAGCGCTCTACCTCTGAGCCACAACCCCAGCCCTGAAAGCATACTTTAAAACAGAAATTGAAAATATATTTAAATGGAAATTATAATATTTTCTTTGCTTTTGTCCTTTACTTTGGAGATCACTTCAAAGGGAATGAATTGGTATTTTTATTTGTTTATAACATCCCTACCATTGTTCTTCAACCTTTTGTTCATAATTATGTGTGTAAGTGTTCTATTATTATAACAGATATCTGAGATAAATCAACTTATAAAGAGCAGTGCATTGCCAGGTGCAGTGGTGCACACTTTTAATCCCAGCAGCTTGGGAGGCTGATGCAGGAGAACTACAAGTTCAAAGCCAGTCTCAGCAATGTAGCAAGGCCCTTAGCAACTTAGGGAGACCCTGTCTCTAAATAAAATATAAAAAAGGGCTGGGGGTGTGGCTCAGTAGTTAAGTGCCTGTGGGTTCAATTCCCAGTAGCCCCCCCCCCAAAAAAAAAAAAAAAAACCCGAAAAATAGTGTATCATGTCTGGGAGCACGTGATGGGGCAAAGCTACTCACCTCCTAGCCACTGGGATGTGAAAGAGAAAGAGAGAGAAAAGGGCCAGGGTCTCATAGTCTTCTTGGCAGGCTCACCCCTAATCACCTAAAATCTCCCACTAGATCCTTCCTCATAAGGTTCTCTGACCTCTCAGTTCTCTGACCTCCCAGCTGAGGAGCAAGCTTTTATATATAGGGCCTTTTGGAACATTATGGATCTAAGTTATAGCATTATGTATGTGAATATTTATTTTTCCTAGTAACTTTGGGGAAGATACAACTTTTTGTTTTTTCTCTATACCTACTATTATAGTTAATAAATTATTTAACTAAAATCTATTGATTAGCCACATTGTGCTCAATGCTAGGAAAACTGTAATAAACTACAAAGATACATTGCCATATTTGGAGTTTACACAGTAATAGGGAAAGTGGACAAATACATAAGCAGTACTTTCAGTGTGGCAGAATCTGTGAAGTGTACAGTGTACTCACATAGAAGGAAGATCTGACCCCAACTTTGGAAAATAGAGAATGATTTGAAACAGAAATGGTATCCTGGTTGTGTTCTAAAGAATAAGTAAGTGTGGGCCAGGTGATGGGGCTCAAGCGGTAACGCGTTCTCCTGGCGTGCGTGGGGCGCTGGGTTCGATCCTCAGCACCACATAAAAATAAAATAAAGATGTTGTGTCCACCGAAAACTGAAAAATAAATATTAAAAAATTCTCTCTCTCTCTCTCTCTCTCTCTTAAAAAAAAAAGAATAGTGTTCTAAGCAGAAGGAGCAGCATGTGCACAGAGCTCTGAGTAGTAGGGGAACTAAAAAGTTGAGCATGCTCAGAGTGTAGTGGACAAAAGAGATGAGGCTGGGAGGATTATACTTAGAGACCTTAATAAGTCCCATTAAGGAGTTTGGAATGTATTGTAAGAATGTGTAACAGAGTTACCAGCCTCATCCTTATCCCTTAGTTTTAAAGCAGGGGAGTAATATAATCAGAATTTTGTTTAAACATATATATTCTAGGGGCATTGTGGAGGACAGATGCAGGGAGAATTAAGATGGGATAGAGAGGTAGGAAATGGTTTTAGTAACACAGCCCGACCAGGTAGAGACAGTAGGGATGCAAATCTGGGTGAGAGAAATTCATGAATAGAATTGGTAAGACATGATGTAAATTTAAGAGAACAGAAGAGCTAAGTGTGGTATTGGGGTTCCATCTTAGCAAGAAGATAGATGGTTGTGGCGTTTACTGGAGTATATAACCAACGAGGGAGGAAATGTTTTAGGGAGATGATATTTTCAGTTTTGGATACATTGGATCTCAAAAGTCTATGAAATAACTCAAATGGAATATTTTATAGTAAATAAAAAAAATAGAAGTCTAAAGAGAAGGACACAGTGTGATGGAGGGATGATTTTTGAAGCTGAATACCAGAGATTGAATGGAAGTGGGGAAAGAATTCCAAGTGTAGAAAATAGGCATGGTAAGTTTGGAGAATTTTGTGTAGATGTGGCTTAAGGAGACATAGGATAGCAGGTTGAGGAATAACAGAAGGTGGGAATGAAAGGAAACAAAGACCACAGGTTACAAAGAGCCTTTCATAGCATGCCAGTTAGAATGGACTTGATTCCTCAGACCTTAAGGAGCCAGAGGAAGGTTTCTACTTTCTAGTTCCCCAAATTAAACTCAGGCCTTCACATGTGCTAGTAAGTGCTCTACCACTGAGCCACATTCTCAGCCCTTGAGGGCTTTTAAGTTGAAATATAAGTTGGGCACAGTGGTGTATGCCTGTATTTCCAGCAGTTGGGGAGGCTGAGGCAGGGGGATTGCAATTTTGAGGCCAGCCTCAGCAATTTAGGAGGCCCTAAGCAATTTAGCAAGACCCTGTCTCAAAGTAAAAAATAAAAAAGAGCTAAAG